AGGACACACACACACACACACACACACACACACACACACACACACACACGCCCTAACATTTTCGGTAAAGCAGCGAGTGATTGAATATCTGTGTGGAAATCGATAACATCGCAGCATCACGTGCGCGCTTGTGTTTCAAGGAATCATTTAATCAACCCCCACCCCCACATTAAAGTACCAGCACACACTCATCAACCTGCCGCTGTGGCCATGGTGACAACTCGGAACGGAATAAATGACGTCCGTCTGTGTTTTTGCTGGCCTGCAGGGGAAGGGGAAAAAAACTGTTTTGAGTGTCGTCTTGTGTTGAGAGTTCAACAAAATCGAATCGACTCTTGACCTGACCCACGTGAAGTGCTTCAGGGATACGGTGAGTCACATCCGGGGCTTCAATCGGAACACGGATAAATAATGGCAGACAGTTCAAAAGCTAACTAACTCATAAATAATACACCGGCACAGTTTGAGTTGACAGTCAAGTACTTGAGTCTTTCGGTGTCTGACAACCTTCAAAATCAGAGTGCTCCATACCCATTTTGATTCGTTTGCTGTGGCTGTGAATAAATGAAATAAGGCGCGCGCGCACGTACGCACGCACACACACAGCATTGGAAATGAAGGACCTTAGTCATTCATCAAGTGTTTTCATCATTTTAAAACTCACCTTGTTTGTACTCTTGTTTACGGCCTTTCGCCTTCTTGGCACATTAGCACCCACACATGCAAATTAGCTTTGGCCTTGACGATAACGCACTAGTGAGTCCCTGCATGCAGAAATACTCGGAAGCAAAAGCGCGGCGAGACAGCCGCGCTTGTAACGAGTCACAAAAAGGACGACTACACGTACGCATAGCGATGTGACAGAATGTGTTGATGTCGCGGTAAGACAGATGGGACATATTTCATGTGTTCCGGCTTCATAGTAAGGCTGAAACAAACGATTTTTTCAATACTTGAATAATCTGTCCGTTATTTTGTCAACTGATTGGTGAATCGCTTACAAAACTTTTTAATTGTCATTCCGTAGTCAAAAACAAGACTTTATATCAAATTGACTGAATTAATATGTTTTCCAGAACTGACTTTCTTCTGGCTTCTGATTGGCTCTCATGTCTTCATTTCTGTCTGCTGTGACAGCGCCACCAGTTGCTTTGGAGTGCGCGGAGCAATTTAAGAATCTCCGTGATGGCCCTCAAAGCCGTACAAATGGAGAAGAAAAAAAAAAAAAGCAGAGGATGTCATTAACAATGCAAGACAGCGCACACTTGTTTGCTTATTAATTATTTCTATGGCTGCTTGGAGCTTGACGAGAAGACTAAAAATGGAGCAGGGTGAGCATGGAGTAAATTGCATTGCCCGGGAAATGTCTTTTATCAATTGAGATTGCAAACGACGATCCGCTTTCTGATCACTGACGCTTGTGATGGCAGTGGGGCATTTGAGGAATGCGTGGAAATGCCACAGTCTCTCAAAATGATTTTCTGTGACGTCATCGACTGTCATCAGTGGGAAATAAACAGTTTGAGAACTAGCTTGAAAACCTTTAAAAGATACCAACGGTTGCCAAGACGACTAATAAGACGTGTAGGAACTCATTTGACTTCTTTACAGTTGAAACGCTACCTCGACATTGTTATTCCGGGCATTCAGGATGGTGTGATGTGAAGGCTTACGAAAAAAAGGGTCACGTTTTAAAGTCAGGTTTTAAGCCTGGGTTAGGGCCTCAAATTAGGAGTTTGAGAACCAGGTAGGGTTTCAAAATAGGGAGTGTTGCAGACTAAGGTTGGGTTCGAACTTGAGTTTGAAAAAATACCAACCCCAACCCTAACTGTGCCCAAACCCTGAAATTAGGGTTTCAAAACAGGGTCAGGATTTCATATGGTTTTAATTCTGGATTAAGGCATCAAGTATGGGTTAGGGCTTCAAGCCTGTGTTCAGGTCAGAGTCAGTGCTGCAAATGATTTTAGGTTGGGGTTCGGGTTTCAAATGATTTTTTTTTTTTTTTAACTAGGATGAGTGTGCAGTTAAGAGTTTCAAGCCAGTGTTGTGGTTTCAAGGTAGGGTTTCAAGTCTGGGTTTGCGTTTCAAATTAAGGTTTAAAGCCAGGGCTAGGGCCTCAAATTTGGGTTTCAAGTTATAAATTAGGAAAAGGGTTACAAAGGAGGGTTTTAAATCAGGGTCAGGCAACGTTTTAAAATATGGGTTGGGCTTCCAAGTTGGAGGTTCAACCCAGAGTTCAAGTTTCAAGTCTGTGTTAGCGTTTCAAAAGTCGGGTTTCACATCGGAGTTTCAAGGCAGGGTGACTGGTTTTTTTCTTCCTCCTCTAAGAATATCAGCTTCTGCTTATTTTGCCAGCTGTTGAGAACTTGGAACACCTTTGGGTTGCACAGCAAGCAGCACGATCCTTCAAATAACTTGTAGTTGCCAGGCAACGGAAAACTCGAGTGACTCCGTCATTTTGCCTCCATAATTAAATAGGTTTTGCAGCCGGTGACATGCCCATAAGTATTGTTCTATTACGGGTTCTGTCGACATGGCGACATATCCATTGCTTCAGGGTTACAACACAGGAACTATTGACACTATTGGTGAGTCCATTTATGGTGTTTTGCGTTTGGTTAGCATGTGGTTGTTTAAAACAGAGAACACAATTTGGCTATCTTTGTTTTATGTTTAGTTTGATCGTAAAGCTTAAATGGGAGTGGCATTAAACAGCTTGAGGCCTCTTTTTTTTTGAAAGAATAAGAGGAATTGTTCACTACCAGATAGCCGCTTGGTGCGCAGACACACAAATAATGACAAGTGAAGAAAAGACCAGTTAGAGGGGGCACATGCCATTTGAAACGGTCGATAAAGGCAATAAAATGTGTAATGTATATGATTTTATTTCTTTCATGAGTGCATCTTTACTTTTTTTATTGACATTCCCATCGGACATTTTCAGGCACATTATGAAGGTCATTAATCACGCTGTTCGGTGACTTTTTTTTTTTTTTTTTGCAACAGTGGATAAAAATCCAGACGAGCATCCTTCCATTGTTTTCAGGTGTTAGGTGAAACGTAAAGGTAATGAATGTCACGTTGTGTATGTTGTTTCTTATTGAGGTTATACATTTAAATTAAGCAATGTTGTTCGAGGTTACTCATGATTGTTTTTAATCAAAAAGAGATCAATTACAGATGCACACTATTTTATTGTTATCAAGTGTGTACTATTTTAGTAGGGTGATAAAAATCGTGACGCTCTTATAAAATATATATATATATTTTTTCAATTTATTGTTATTAAAATTCAAAGTCGTTTGGGGTTTTGACAATCCAGACATTCATTATTTTCTTTCCAGGTCAGCATTTGCATTTCATATTTTAGTTTTATTGTGTCGATAAATTCCAACAAAATATATATATTTTTTTAAATTCATAGCGATATATTTGTCCTTTGATATTTTACCACCAGGATGCAACAAAATCATGTACCTGTACATCATTTTATTGGAAGGATGTTTTATTGGGGTTAGACAGTCTGATGTGCCATTCTCCAACGATTTATAGCCGTTTATCATTCTGTGCTTTGATCTTTTGACATGACGATGCAGTAAAGCAGGGGTCCCCAACCGCCGGGCCGCGGACCGGTACCGGTCCGCAGGGCATTTGGTACCGGGCCGCACAGAAAGAACTTGCCTTTTTTCCGTTTTATTAATTTCGGATTGCGAAATGTTTTATTTTGAAAAATTACCGGATTCTCTGTTACATCCGTCTGTGTCACGCTTGACTCACGTCAAGGCACACTTCTCGGTCAGGTGACCGATGACGCTCATAAACAAAAGGCTGAAGCCCGCAAAATGAGTAAAAAAGCTGCTTGGAGATCGCAAATGACGGCGGCCTTAAAAGTACGTTCGAAACAACTGGATCAAAGTTATGGCTGAATACTCTGAGATCGCCACAATAGCACTGTTGCTATTTCCGGCATCCTACCTGTGTGAGGTGTGGAGTTTCTGCAGCAACGGCGACTAAAACAAAATTACGAAGTAGACTCGACATAAACCACACACTTAAGGTGTCATTACCCCGAGATGGGACTGTCTGATTGCAGAAAATCAAGCTCGGGACTGTGGTGAGTCGTCATTTTCATGCACTTTGAATTTGCGTTGTATCGTATTTTGAAGGCATTAAACATTACCACAGCGATAAGAGTGTTGCGACCAGATTAGACGCTCCTTGTGTTTATTATTATATTTCGAAAACACCACAGTTTTCATGCAGCTCATACCATATTATTTTGTTGTATTAATCCGCCACACCTTCAATGCCGGTCCCTGAAAATATTGTCTGACTTAAACCGGTCCGTGGGGCAAAAAAGGTTGGGGACCCCTGCAGTAAAGGCATTTTACTGTTAACAGGCGTGTACTTTTATTATTTTGTTGAAATGATAAATCCCAACATTCTTTACTGTTTTATGAGGAGCTTATTCATCGACCTGTCTGTGGATATTTTGACACCAGGAAGGAGTAAAATCTTCATTTTATCGTGACCGGTTATGTATTTTAGTTGTTGTACTGGGGTCACAAATTCCAACGTTCCGTTTTTATTAGCGCTTATTCATCATTTTTGTCATTTGCTCTTTTACACGGGTTGCAATAAAATACCCACCTTAAAATGGTTTTGGTGTGCTGGAGAAATGGAACAAGAGCATTTTTGAATAGCATGTCACAAGCTTGGAAGACTTTCATATGTGTGAAATGAGACCGTGTGTCCCGACGTGTTCCCTAACCAGAGTACCGTGAGTCACCGCTGCGTGAATTATAGATGGCTTGAAATTGCGTGAATGAAAAAACATCCTCGGCCCCCGAGGCTCACAAGCAGAGAGGCAACTTTCTCATCTGCTTGTTCTCTGTAAATAATAGTCCGAAGTACTAAGGCGAAGCCCACCTGTGTCGCCCCACACCGGCAGGTATTCGTCTTGCTGAATGTCCAACATGATCTCCAGCCCGTTCCCCGTGCCGCCTTTCATGGTGGTGCGCAGAGACTTGCCCTCCTCGGCGGCGTTGAACATGTAACACTTGCCGTACCGAGTGAACACCTGCGAGAGAAGACAGGCGGTGGTCAGTCAGATTGTGGATACGCTCGCGCGCAGAGAGTACCGAGGAAGGCTTCAATTGTCCCAATGTTTGGGTAAGAGATGAAGCGCGGCACGTAAGCGGTTGCTTTTTCTTTGTACGCATTGTTCTGGTTGGTGCTATGATGTCATGCTATCCGCTAGCTCGTGCTATAGCTGCTGGTGGAAACGTGGCTCCAAAAAAAGTTGACTACAGTTAACTAGTGATGCCACTTGTTACTTTTTTTCATCTATTCTGAGGTGTTTTTTTTTTTTTTATTATTATTAAAGTAAATATAGAAAATGATGCATTTTAATTACTTAAATAGTAAGCTGCCACTATTGCAACTCACACGCCCGTGCACGGCAAAAAACAAAGCTGTCAAGTGGGACTCCCGGAAGAGATGTAAATTTAGACAAACGACAGTCGAAGGCATTGGCGAAAGAGCTGTTTATGTGGCGCTGCGGTGTTTTATCGCGCCTGTCAGACGCTGTACCAGCCAGCCCCTCCCACCTCATTAGCCTAACGAAGACCCATCTGCTTTGAGGAGAACAGAGATAATCTGTGAACTGGTTTTAATTAGTTCCCAGACAAAAGATTATATTTGCATATATCACTGGGAAGATACTCGGCTATGCGTCACACGGTTACTGATGTCATTGAAGCTAACGGTCGGCGCCTAGCATCACAAATTCTGTCCCGAGCAGAAAAATCAATCATCAGGCGGTCTGCCTCTCTTGTCTATCGATGTGTTTTTTGATGATGCGGCCTCATTGTAACGCAGATGCTTGACGAGATTGAAGACTTTCACTTGGATCGATGCTCGAGACAAAAACCCACACGGCTGAACAACTGTGGAAAATAATCTAATTGCGACTTTTTTTCCCCCCCAACAATACTGCGATTGAGATCGAACCGTTTTGTTTCCAAGGTCCTCTTCCTCCTCCATGTATATTTTTAACAAACAAGCACAAGAAATAAATTCATCTGTAATACAGTAAATAAAGAGGACCGACAAAATAAAGCCTCAAGAACCGACTCTTGAAAACTAACATCAAATTGTTCCTTTCGGATTGAAGCTGTCATTGTGGGTGAATTCCAGGTTGCCCATTTAAGCTCCGATTTGACATTTTGCCCCAAATCATAACATGGTAATATGAAGATAAATACGTAAAGCTCCCTCAGGGCGAGTGAGATATTGTTCTCACCCGCGACATCATTGCGGTTTGGAGATATTGGATTTTTTTTTCTTCCAAAATGAGGATCAAAGAACACAAGCCCCGTGACACAAGTTTCGCTGACTGACTTGAAATTCCATCGACCGTGTCGAACATAACGAGAGAGAAGGTGTTAACATTAAAGTGCTGAATGTCACTTCAAATTGTAGGTATTCATTCACACAAATGCTCGACCTACTTTGAATATGATATATAATCGTATTTTCCATTCAGCACCCCCCCCCCCACAACTTGATGGCTCTGAACGGGTTTCAGGTTGAACAATAGCGGCCGCCGCTGCATTTGTCAAGCTTGGCGATGGTTGGTGTGCGGGTCAGGGCCGAAGTCAACGAGGCTCTGGGAGAAAAAGAGTCGTCATCCTGCGGGGGGGATGGGATGACAAAAGACACGAAGAGAAAATTGTGCCATTGAAAATCTTCACCCGTCGGTTCCCGCGACTCGTCATCTGTTCCCTCCAGTGGAGATGTCAAAAAAAAAAAAAAAAAAAAAGAAGAGATGCCCATGATAAGCTTTCAGGGGTGTCTAGACATCTTCCACAATCGAGCTGCGATGTCAGGGGGAGCAAGGAACTGCAATAGATGTGCATTTATGAATTGTGTCGTTTCACCGTTGAAAGGAAAAGACATCCTGTCTGCTTGAGAAGGACAAAAAAATAAAGAATGCGAGAAATAAAGGTGAACATTTGATCACTTGCGAGTAAAATCGCTTCTGGACGAAAGAGGAGAAAAGTGGAGAAGACAAAAAAAAAAAAAATGGTCGGGAATAATTGAAAAGAGAAGAGAAAGTCAAAGAGAACATTTTAAGAAAAAGAAGTCAGATGTGAAATGGGCAGGGGGAGAAACAAAAGAAAAAGTGCGAGAACACAAAAAAGAAAACAGAAAAAAGCAAAAAGACAAGAGAAAATGAAATAAAAAAAGAGGAAAAGGGACTCAAAGAAAGAAAGAAATTAAAGCAATAAAGAAAAGGGCAAAAAAAGGAGAAATGACATATAAAAGACCCATCCATGGATTGCAGTAAACATCTCAAAGTGTGGCTCCATCGGACATGCACGTGCGGACGAGAAAATTTAAAACGGAGCTCCAGCCGGGAAGGCCTTCACCTCGGGCCGAGGTCGCCGCTTATCGCGCCTCTTTTCCCTGATACGCTTGTCAGGCATCCTGCTGTCTGCTCAGAGAAAGTTGCAGTGTGTTTCGTCTACAGGAGCGGTACAGGGGTGGCCCCCTCCATCTCACATCTATAAGATTGAGGACCCAATCATTGTCTTCAATTGGGCAGAGATGGTGCTTTTTTTTTTTTTTTTTTTGGTGCTCAGAGAGCAAGAATGAGCAAGAATGTTCAAAGATGGAGGGGAAACACCACTTTGCAGGTGTTTTGGGTGAGGAATTAGCCTTCTGACTAACAATGATGATCACAAAACACACCCAGTTGTTCAGTTGCTGCTATCAAATAGCACAACATGAAACTTGGTCCCTTCCAAGAGGAAAAACCGCACGCGAGAATACATACAAAGTGGTTTGCAGTGTACAAGGGGCTTCCAGAACGAGCGTTCTGACGAACTGTAAACAACTGCGTGTTAGCGGGTTGCCAGGTGTTTAGTTGTGATTAAAGATTTTGTGTTCCGCATTTCTAATCTGTACGATTTCTCCATTAGATACTAACAAGCCAACGATAATGTCATTTGTTAACACGAAAAGCAGAAGCTAATTTGAAGACTCGAATTCCACTCATCGCCGCGCTGCATGGAAATGAACCATTATGCAAATGTCCACACTAAATGAATATCCACATTCCTTCTCACATGGTTTTTTTTCTTAACCCGGTGTAACGAGAAAATTGGAAGGCAGGGGAACTAAGGAGGGAGTTTTTATGAGGGGCCGTGTTATTTGGCCAATCAATAACATGTTATGAGAAGAGACTACATGACGAGATTTACAGAAGTACAGTTGAACCTTGTTGCAACGTAGCTGGAGGGACATAGCGAATCGGTCCGCTATAACGGTCGTTCGGTGCCACCATTTCCAATAAAATGGCCGCCAACTATGATGTATAAATACAGTATGAACATTTATAGATTTCTTACTTGCCTAAATCAGGGGCTTGAACATAAATATTTCACCGCCGCAATTTTACTGCTGCGATTTCTGGCACGCTAAAAAAAAATCTTTCTAAAGGTGAATTGAATGAGATGAATGATATAAATTCCACATGGGAACAATGTAAATGGGTAATGTTGCTTTTAGAATGAACGATGAACAACCTTTGATGGAAACTCGGCCTCGCTGGGAATGAATTTGAAATTTTCGGGTGGAAAAAAAAAAACATTTGGGAATGTGTTGAAAGTGGAATGAAGTAAATGAGATGAAATGAAAGAAGGAAATGCATGTCAAAAGAGTGGAAGGAAAAAAATGGGAATAACATTTTGTAAAGACCTTCAGCGGTCACACAACAAGGCTGGCATGAAAGCAAAAAAATAGGGAGGATTAAAGTAGGAGAGGAAAGGAAAGAGGAATAGAGTAAGGAAGCAAGAAAGCACAAATGAATGAAAAAAGGAAGGAAGGAAGGAAGGAAGGAAGGAAGGAAGGAAGGGAAGGAGGAAGAGAGGAAGGATTGAAAGACGAAACCATAACTCGAAACCCTATTTTGAATTTTCAAGATGAAACTGTGCTTTACAAACATGACTGTAACAAATACTTGAAGTGTAAATCGGTATCAGGACTTTTTGCGCCACTCGATGCTATCCAGTAGGCCTCCTCCTCTTTTCATCATCACTCAGACGCCTTGGGGTCGACTTCTCCTACACAGAGTACACAGTAGCTCCCGTCACCTTCCAAACCGACGGGCGCTTTTTATGGAAGCCGTTCATCACGGCGCTCCATGATGATGTTTTTATTTTTTATTTTTTTACAAGGCGATGCTGCCGCGATAGCGCCAAAGAATGGCGGGCGGCGGGAGATTTATGTGCGCGGGGATGAGGGAGGGTACGAGATGGAGGATGGAGGAAAAAAAACAAAACAGGTGAGTTATATGACAGCGAAAGGGATCTGAGGCTCGCTGGTTAGCCCAACGTCATGCGTGGTCACGTCTGGTGAAGCAGCATGTGGCTCATAGCCACTGGTCAGTCATATAACGGTGAACATTACCCTCAGCATTGAAGTCGGGGCAGTTCATCAAAATATAATCACGATTTCTAAGTCTCATAACCATAAAAACGTTACAATTGAATAAAAATGACGAATGTGCTGAACGACGGAGTGTGTTTGGAAGTTCCCGTGTTGCGAAAGCACCCTGAAGGCACAGCGTTGCTTGTGCAGCAAGTGTGAGGCAAATGTGAGTCTCTTCTCTCCAAGTCTACTGAATACTGATTAATGACACCCCGCTTGAAGTTGACTGTCAAACTAAACATACAACAAAAACAATTACAGTCAATGTACTGTAAATGTAAATATAAGACATACTCCATTTAAGAAATATAACCAGCGTTCATGCTAGCAAGCAATGGAATATTCCATTGACACGCTAATAAAAATTAGCATCAAGTTCCAGGAGTGATTTTCCTTCAAATAACGAATATTCACACGCAAATAACGTCGTAACACATACAGAGAGGAAATATCTTCTACTCTTTTTATCTAAATGTCTTGAAATCAATGAATGACAGTGTTTGCTCGTCGTGATTTCCATATGAGTCAAAATCATTCAGATTTTTTTTTCTCCCATAAAATAGCTCAAAACCTGTTCAGCGCTAC